TTAACTTTTTTTTTTTATTATTAAGTTGTGTACATTCGGACAGCATGGTTACTTGAAATTACACACACACACACACACACACTCTCTCTCTCCTTTTTACTTAATTTGTCATTGACACAGTTTTTTTAAAAGGTTTTATACAAGATATAGTTTTTTTACGAGTACTAAATACTTGTTCTTATACGTTTTATATAAGAACAATTATATAGGCCTAACTGAAATACAGTAAATGATCATTAAAATGTTGCTTTAAAATGAATAAATGAATGTATTTGTCAAACTGACGTTTCAGTCCAGTTCACACAGATCCTAAAGACTCGTTTTCTTTTGACATGTCACACATGTGCGCGCGCACCGGCAGAGGGCGTCAAGCGTCCCACCGGCACCATGCCCAAAGAAATCAAAGCCATGGAGTTTGAGATCCAGCATGGGAAAAAACACAAGCCCAGTAAGAAGCTCAGAAGAAGGCTTCAGCTGTGGCTGTGGTCCTATGCCTTCTGCCCGGTGGTGCACACATGGCAGGACCTGGGGAACCGATTCTGGCCCCGCTATGTGAAGGTGGGCAGCTGCTACAATAAAAGGTCTTGTTCGGTTCCAGAAGGGATGGTTTGCAAACCTGCCAAATCCAGCCATTTTACGGTTTTGCGATGGAGGTGCCTGCAGAGAAAGGGTGGGCTCAAATGTGCCTGGATACCAGTTCAGTACCCCATTATATCAGAGTGCAAATGCTCCTGCCCGAACTGAAATAAGCTCCGCTCTGTGCTCATTCTCACATGCACTGTCCAGTGTAGGAATGTATATTTGATGTATATGTGGTGCCATTCTAGGTTACACTTTACATTGGTGTTCATGTTACTGTGTAATTTCATACAGAAGTACTGACAAGTGATGCTGACGAAACTTTGTGTACTTAACATGTGATTCTTTTGTGGAGCTGCTTGGTATTATAGTCATTATAGTAAATAATTATAGTAATATGTCTAACATAGACACTGTAATGTAAAGTGGTGCCTGATTCATTTATAAAAAAAAAAGAAAAAAGGTCAGTATTTGCCTATAATATCCAGTGTCTACTGTAACTTTGGTTGTAATGTAACTTTATACATATTTATGTCAAAGAACATTTCGCATTCAAAGTGCGTTTATTGAAGGAATTCCAAGCTTTTTCCATTATTCGGAAAAAAAAAAACCTTTATCTTTATACACCTCAGATGGGAGATTATAGATTACAGTCTTGGTGTGCTGTAAATATAAGGGGAATGGAAAATAACTGCTCATGTAAATTAAAAGAAACTATTTATTCTTCATGTCCATGTAGTCGAAATGCATTTAAAATAAAACCACTAAAAATGGCATGAACTGTTTTTTGCTTATTTCACTTGCTGTACATACGCAATCTGCTTAACATGCACTGCATGCAGTAAAACCCACCAGCTGCTATTTATAAAGCCCTCCATGCTGATGTGACGCTAATTGAGGTGATATTATTTTAATTTGACTTATGAAGTCAAGTCTGGATGGTAATGGACAATTGGTGATTCGTATTCCTCGGAGGGAGTGGATCAGTTACTTTGTTTTTTTTCCCCTCCGAGACGCCATTCTGTCCTCAGACAGTCTGAAGGGTCTTTGTAAAAGGATTAAAAGTTAAAGACCTTCATTTTCAGATTCTTTCATTTAATCTGTGTGGCGCCTGAAACACATGCTGGATGGATGATCACATGTAAAAACATTCTCTGCTCTGTCTGCTGCCTAAAGTCTATTGGCATGAAAAGAACAACTTGGCCTCACAAAGGAATGAAGATACTGAAGTCCTGCTCTGTATCGATTAGGTTTAAGCTCCTTTTTTGACAAACGTCACGTAGATGGCTTTGACTTTTGTTTTGTTTTGTTTCGCTATATTCAGGCATTTATACATCACACTGTAGCATTTCAAAGAGTCCCAAGAGTAAAACTCAGTCAGGGATCAATCATGCATAATCTTCAATGTAACAGTTAATACACAGCTTTAAAGCCAAAATGAAACTTTCCCTCATGGCAAAAAGTAAATCCTACTTTTGTTACATAGATTTTGACTTAATCCACCAGCACATTGTCCAGCATCACTTGGTTTTGCACACTAAGGAGGGTTTACGTAAAGGAACATTACGTCTTTATATTACTTCTCAGCTCGCCGCAGAATAAAAACACTGCTTGTTTCTCCAGCTTTCCAATAAGCTAAGAATATGTACCTGTCACTCCACTCTACTTAACAAGAAATGCTGTGTGCCAGTGTCTTTCTTTCTTTCTTTCTCTCTTTATGAGGCATATTTTCACACAGTGATAACTGGGCAGCACCATGCGTGATTTTCAACACCGGCTTAATGTACCTCAATCTGCAACCCTCAAACCTAAACACTCATAGATGCTCTGAATTATCCCATTTCATCGCTCTCAGGGCATCACTTCCCAGGAGATATAACTGGAAACTTCATCTCGCATAGTAACATGCCACCCAAGTTCTGGAGTCCATCCAGTATCACTAACAATCAGGTGTGAGGAACAGTTGCCCCCTTACACGCTGCACCCTTCCCGTGATGAAAGCCAGTCTGGCCACCCAGGCGCTCTCTCTAACCATGACAGAGCGGAAAAACCACCAGTCATTAAACGTTCAGATTGTTTTTTTGCACAGACACTCCCTTAAAGAGAAAAGCCTCTCATTGGTCTGAACCTTGTGCGTGTTTCCTGGCGACTGGACCAAATAGCTGGTGTGCAGAGGATGGAGGAAACCCAAACCAAAGGAACATGGGGACGTGAGTAGGTTTGTGGGCAATACCAATGGGCTGGAAACTCCTTACTAAAAAATGAGCTCCAATATCATGCACAAATATATTTACATAATCATTTAATGATTCAGGGTTTAAAGTTCATACAATGTCCATCCTTAAAATGTTACTATATATAATGATATATATATATATATATATCGTCCATTGAATCATGCTCAATAACATATACATCCACTTTACACTTTGTATGTAAAATATGGAATATGAAACATTTTCAATATTAGTCTCAGGCTTTTGGATTCCACCATATAATATATACATATATGTTTTTGTTTTTGTAGCCTATGCTGTGAAGTTTCATTAGCTTTTTCTTTGTTTTTGCTATTCTACTTGTAAAGCTGGACCAAATGAGCCTCTGAAAAACAGAATCAGCCTCCAACTGTGAAAGCATATCTGTAGAACTGAGAAATGATGTTGTTTTCAACATTGGCAGTGAAATGTGTCACTTTACAGCCTTGACTTGTCAACATTTCTCATATTTTATGAGAGTGTGACATTCAAAAACAACATGTGGTAAAACTTTATTATAGCTTACATTTACAGTTATGCGAATGATGTCAGGAAGAGACATGCATCAACATAAGCCTCAGGCTGATGTCTGTCACTACTCTGCTACAAGGAAATTCACTTCATTTTGCATTCTTTTTTTCTCTCTCTTAAAATCTCAATAGCATTATTCGTTCTGTGTGTGTCTTGGCACCTTTGAAAATGGCCAGGTGTTATCAGGGTATCTGAGTGTGCTCTTGAGGATGATATCACCGAGAAAAAGGTCAGTGTGATTTCAAGTTCATACCAGAGATCATAGCGATGGGGTCAGGGGGATGATTGCATGTCAGATGTTGGAAGATCAGAGCTATATTTGCAGACGTGCAGGCTAAAAACTGACTTTGATGTGTAAGAGAGCCAGTACCAGATATGATTAAAGAACGTCTCCTTATTAATGAAAGGGGAACATCAATGCACAATCATCTGGACTGCAAATTGATCCAAATCCAAAAAGATTAAAATGCATGCAGTTGACTTTTTATTTATTTATTTATTTTTTACATTTAATAAAAAAAAAATCATTGATTTTTTGATTAAGATTTGTATTGTTTTTAATGTTTTTCAATGTCTTGCAACCTTGAATTCTGGTTTCTTACAGAGGAAAAAAACAACAATTTAAATATAAAAGCAAATCTTGAGCACTTTACCTCAAGGTTGACAGATA